CTTCCTGGGTCCCCTCTTTTAGAACTGTGGTAAACTGAAGTGTACACAAAGTACAAAGCAGAAAGTGAGCAGCTACTGTAGCCCTCGACCTTAGCGAAGGGGAAGCACTTAGCAAAAATAATAATGTCCTGGGGAGGGACTGGTAAAGATCTCCAAACCACGGTTAGAGTCACTAGTAGAAGTTTTTCCCTCCCTGTGGCTGGAGCCCTTGACAAGGTTCACTTTCACACATCCTTAGTCTTTGAGTTTCTCAGGAACCTAAATGAGATAATATGGGGAGGAAAACAGACTAGCCCTACAGCTCGACTTGCCTGAGGTCTTCGAACTCCAGCCACGTGTGCACTTGTCTATGTCCAGGAGATCATGGTCACAGAACAACTGTACTCTCATGGTCCTCTAGCTGGAGTTAGGAGCTTTACACAGTGGTTAAAGCATTCAGCTGGAATTGAAAGTTCGATGGTTCGAACCCACCGTTCACTCTGCAGAAGACGTGAAACTCTGCTCCCCCAAAGATTTACAGCCTTGGAAACTCTAAGGGGCAGTTCTGTTTTGCCCTGTCAGGTTGCTGCGAATCAGAATCGCCTCATTGGCAATGAGTTTGGTTGGGTTTGTTTGTTTGGTTGGCTTGGTTTGGTTTTTTTGCCTCTAATGGGTTTGGTTTTGTTTTGTTTTAAACCAAGGGTGGGGAGAGCACACCTTCCTCCAGAGAGAGGCTGATGAGGAAGTGAGTTAGGGCAAACAGTGCTTACCAGGATGTCTCTCTCACCAGGAGCGCTGGTGGCCTAAGGAGTTGCTCTACCACCCCAAAGGACCAGCTGCTCCAAGGGAGAAAGCTGGCAGTCTCCTCATGTGTTTACAGCCTCTGAAAATCTGCTGGATGGCAAGTGAGTCGGTGGTGACTCTAATGCAGTGAACTGGTGGAGTATTAATAGGATTGCTGCAATCATCCAGCCCTTAAGGACAGATAAAGGCCCATGTGTAGGCGGGAGAAGGCATCAGACTAGAGAAGAGGCCGCAGATGAGAAAAGACCCAGTGTACACACATAACAAAACAAAAAAAGCCATTTTATTGAAAATTAAAGTCAAACTTCAAATTAATATTACAATCATGAGAAAAATGCCAAATAATTCCATTTACAATTGCAACAGAAAATACAAATAGTCCCTTTGAAGTTGAGAGTAAACTCATCCACAATCATGGTCTGTGGCACAAGCAGAATTTGTACAATATGTGCATGGTAAGCAAATCTTGGGCAACAGCAATTGGGGGGAGAAATAAAATAGAAAGCTTGTATTTACACAAAATGCTACAAATATTTTTGTTCCACAGAAATCTAAGAATGGTAAAGCATATCCAAAAACATTGACTTGTATTCAAAGTACCTAAAAAATTACTGTGTTAACGGTTTTTGGCTGATATATTTTAAAGTACTGCATTAAAAAAAAGCAAAACAGTTATTTGTAAACATGAAGTAAACAGACATCTAAAAAGTCTCACATAGAAAATATTCTTTTAAATGCATTATCGTTTGAAGAACAACAAATTCAAGGTTTGGAAGAATTGCATTTTATTTATTACTGTTCTTTTTTTATATATATATCGTACGCATACTTCTTGTTCTTGCTAATGCTTTGTGCTTTCATGTATTGACCTAGAGTCTTAATCCCTCTCCTTGGCACAGACGGGAGTCTCTAAACCAGCATACACTTCTCCTTCCCTCTAAATTTGCAATGGACGGTCCCTAATGGTATAGCTTTCTCCACTCACTTTTAAAGGGTCCTAGTGGGGTGAGAAAGTCTAAAAGTAAACAACAACACATTCAATTATTTTCTCCTGACCAGACTGGGTGTCATTCTACACATTTCAAACCAAAGCTGTAGTACCTTTCCTGGAACTCTAGCATAGGTTAAAATAGGTGAGACAATAGAAATGAATAAAAATGTGGCTCCCCTGGCCCCTTGGTAAACTCCAGCATTATTAGTGCCACATGAAATAACCAAATTACTTTTAGCTCCCGGGAAACAAAGTGCTGACTGTATGTGGTTCTATTACAGAAGCACTTGTAGGTGATATTGCTACAAATCACATCCATGACCCAGTGCAAATTAAGGGTTCTATTAAAAAAATAAGAAGGAAAAACATAACCCCCCAGGCCAAAAAAGGTCAGAATTTGAACCTATTTTTCTAAAAAAAATTAATCACCCCAGGATGGTAGAGATGGATAGAGGGAAGAAGTGCTTGCATTCTTCCTAAGGAAAAATGTTTTTAAAGTGTTTCTGGGTGCTGCCTGCAGCCACTGCAATAACATTTCAACACAAAAGCATCCCTAAAATTACTTAGTTTGAGTACTGTAAACTTTTTTAAAAAGCCCTTTTAACATTAAAAAATAATGCACAAATATAGTACCTTTTTTTATTAAATAGGGTGCAGCTGGCACTGGTGTCAACATTTTTTGCCTCAATTCATTAAAACTGAAATGCGTAACCAGGCACTGACTTTTTTTTTAAGTGCTGCTGAAACAAACACACAGATTTCACACTTAAAAATAAAATGTATGGTGGCATGCTTCAAGCTACCACACACAATAAATAGTATCAATTCCTACTTTCATCTTAATAGAAAAGTGGCTTATTTACCTAAGCATACTTGGTATACAACCTTTAGAAGGCTGGATATTTTTGGTTTGGTTTTGCTTCCCCCTCAATTTTCATTAGAAGTTTATTATCGTGTGCTACCCCACAGGACAGACTAGACCCATCCCATAGAGTTTCCTAGGCTGAAATAGCTACAGGAGTAGATTGCCACATTTTTTCTCTGGCAGAGAGGCTGGTGGGTTAGAATCGCCAACCTACAGGTTAGCAGCTGAGCTCTTGTTCTGCCACCAGGGCTCCTTTCATTGGGAGTCAGGATGAATTGTAAGCACAGATCTGACTGCCCTCAACAGCAATGCCTGGTGGTCCATTATGCAGGGTTTGAGACTGCCTGGAGGGTAAGTGGCTTCTGGGGACTGGAGGCAACTTTTGACATCATTTTAGTTAGGGGGCAAAAAATTCAAATGAAAAGACTTGACTTGTGAAGGAGGAGGGTAGAGGTTTGCCTGACGATGTCATTAAAAGATTCCAGTTTAGTTTAAGGATTTGCACTTGGGGATTTGCCACTTTGCTGCCAAAAGTGGTCAAAGTGCATCCAACAGAAGCTCAAAATCATACACAGTAGTAGACACCAAACATCCTGATCCTCCCACAGTCCTCCATTCTGAGAACTACAATGTCAAAGGAGCTGCACTCAGTCTGTTCCACAGGCTGTATGTTCTCTCAGATCAGCTACCTGCTGGAACCCACCTGTTACTTTGGAAGACCTGCTCCCATAGGACAATGGCCTGATTCTGCTCCTTTAAATGCAGATTCTGTGACAAGCTGTCAGTAGGGTCTTGGCTAAGGCAGATCTGGGTTCCCCTGATTTACTATTTGGTAAGGCTGGTTGATTAAGAATCCCTGGTGCAATGTTGCTTCCCTGTAGTATGCAGGTCATGATTGACTCTTTCATCAACCTGCGTGGCTTTAAGCTATGTCTTCACTGTGAAGCATGGCGATTTCGAGTTCTGTTTAACTCTGAAACCACAGTTTCTGCAGCTCTGTGAGTCACTGTGCTTATTTTGGTTTTTACTATGACAAGAGTCATAATTATTTGAAAAAAATTAGGAAACCACATCACTCCAGCATTTCATGCTGATAAAGGACTAAGTGATAAAAGGCTAGGAGTTGTGTGTTTTTAAAAAAAAAAAAAACAAAACCCAAAAACCTAATTATTGCTTTAAAAGGCAAAGCTGTGTTAAGAGACAAAGATCTGAAAGAACTATACATTTCCTTCATACATCACAAAAACAAGCTACAATTAAAATATTTGGAGATGGAATTTTTTTAAATCACATTGTGTCTGGATGAACTGAAATTGCTTAGCAATGTCTCAGATATGGCTCTAGCCCACTGAAGAAATTTGTTACTTAATAGAAAAAAAAAGCACTTTTAGAGACCGAAGTCAACATATCAATACACTAAGAAATGTTTCAAGGGTCCAAATGTCATTAAATAATTATAAATATATCTTTAAAGTTATATGACCATTCACGTTAGCAAGTTACCTCAGATTTTACACATATTCATAATTTAAAAATAAAAAGAGACAAATAACACACAGCCAGACGCAAACACTATCTATACCGTATGGCTCTAAGAAGGTTATTGCCATTTTCAGTTTTGCATAAAAGGACAAAGGAAGGTGGGGGATGGGGTTTCCTTTTAGTTAAATGGGAAAATGGGGGGTGGGTGGTAAAAAGAAGTACAAAAAGTAAAAGAATATATTCTGATCAGTATTTTTGAAGTCTTTTTTTCCCCCCCCAGAGTAGGAAAAAGTACTGATCCAAACAGCTCAAATGAGTACCTGCAGCAAGTCTGAAACCAAGTTTGGAACAGCTGGTCAGAATGGATGGTACTGTGATGGAGGCATCCACTCTCTCTTTACGTGCACCTCGACTGGCTTTGGAAGCTGGTCTGCAGAGTGCACGGTCCATACACAGCTGCAACCACGAGGGTGTGTGGTTTCAAAGCACAGAGAGGAAGCGGCTTTGCTCTTCCTTCTGAGCCTGGAGCCCACCTCTCTGCACTGGCCGTAATGAACAGATTATGCATGGTAATTGACCGAACAACAACAGCAACAAAAATACCTTTTCTTTTGTTTGCTCCTTTGCAAAAGTTCATCTTTAAATAGAAAACAACCTGAAACCTGATTGATTGTCTCTTTGGGGCCTTTGGCTTCTCAAATAGCTACTCTCCTGTGGTTGCAAGATCATGACTAAGTGAATGAAAAAAACCTTCTAAAAAATAGGCACTTTGTAGACAGCTAATCGATATACACATATATGCATTATCTCTATATATGTATATATTGATACATCTGGGGTGTGGCTCCCAGATAGGGCTGGGCCCACGGCTGAGGAATTTCAATATGGTCGCCAAACAGATTCATCCATTCTGCCGCTAGAATTCAAAACAGTTGGGGAACTGCTGTGGCTTCCATCAGCGTCAACACCATCATTCTGGTTAGGCAAATTGGGGTTTAATAGCGTGCTGCCATTCGAGGTGGTGGTGCATGGCGGAAGCATTCTGGAAGGAGAGCGGTCTCCCCCCGGCACCATGGGGAACTGATAGGAGCCGGACGAAGTGCCATAGTAGAGATATGGAGTGCTGCTGGTCTGGAAGGGTCCACTCTGGCTTTGGGAAGAGCCGGGGTAGGGTGGTGGCAGGTAGGTGTGGTAGTGAGTGGTGGCGGACATACCGAGGGACATGCCTGAGGTGACTGGCGGGGTGTAAGTAAAGGTGGCTGGATAGTGCATTCGTGGGTTGGAGAAGCGGCTCTCAGTGAGGGATGAAATGCTTGGGAACTGCCTGGGGTCTGAAAAAGGGCCCAGTTCTGAAGCACCTAAAAATTACAACAGAAGATGGGGAGGGGAAAAAAAATCTGTAAATATCAATTAAAATAATGATAGAATTTTTTTTACAAGAAAAAAAAATAAAACTTTAGCTTTCCCAAAAAGGACCAGCAAGCCACAAACAGACCTTCAAATGCACCAGTCACTTCACAATCTTTCAGGATTTATTCTTAAATTCTTCACCCAGTAGGGGTAAAAACTGTGTGTGCTAGGTTATTTGTATAAAACCAAGCCAACACTGTTTGTAGAGATTCATTCAGAAGGCTTTTAAAACTGAATCCTCATTGACACCCCCTTTTTGTTCCTTGTTGTATTTTAGTTATGTGAAATAAAATGTTTAGTAAGTCAAACAAGTTTGTTTCTCATCCCAATAATATAAAGAAGCACCCAAATAATACATTTTGTTATTAATATTCTTGGCAAGGCCCCATTATCAATGAAGAACATCAACAAGATAACCTAACATGTACCTGTCACTTCTTTTCACCCTTATAATTATTTAAAATCTTGTGATAGTCTTTATTTTTAGTAACATTGAAATCCACCCAGATTTCAATGTAATCTACATTTAGCTTATTTATCTTGAAGAATATTAGATTTTAGGTCTCAGAAATTTGACTGAAGGTCATAAACTTTAGTTTGTCAAGTAAGTTGTGAGGATGGGTAGAGTGGAGGCCTTTACATGCTTTCATAACAGCCTCCAAGTTGATTTCAGCTCACAGCAATCCAATGAAACAGAGTGGAACTGCTTATAGGGTTTCCAAGGTAGTAAATCTTAATAGACGCAAATTTCTTCCTCTTTCTCTTGCATAGCAGTTGGTGGTACAAATCTTCAACTTTTGGGTTAGCAGCCAAATTCTTTAACCACTGTTCCACCAGGGCTCCTCTTAAAACCTTACTCACTACCATCAAGTTGAGGCCAACTCATGGTGAATTCCACTGGGTTACTAAGGCTATAAAGCTCAATGGGAGAAGATTGCCTAATCTTTTCCCCAAGGAGTGGCTGGTGGATTTAAATCATTGACCTTCTGGTGAGTGGCACACTATATAACCAACATACAGCCAATACTCCTTTCTTAACGCCTTAGCCAAACAAAGCCACTCCTCACTGCCATCAAGCTGGTTCCAAAGTTGTATATCTTTAGAAGACTATCTTTCTCCTATGTTGCAGCTGGTGGGTTCAAACTGTCAGCCTTTTGGTTAACAGCCCAATTCATTAGGCACTATGCCAATAGCATTCTTAATGTCTAGGGAAACAATTTCATTTTAAGTCTTAATGAAAGACAACCTGATTTAGGCCAGGTGCAGAGAATAATTTCTATAAAAGACTATAGGCCTGTAAACCCCAATTTGCTAAAAGGATTAGCATCAGGACAATGTGAACCAGTAATCTAGAAACAAAGATGGTTCCTTCTTAAATGTGAAATCCTTTAACTTCTAAAGCTAACAGAATGCCACTTTAATAGATACTAACTCTGTCTGACAGGAAACTAGACTTGCATAAACCATTTTACATGAAAATTTGTTTTTTGAAATACCTTATACTCGTGATCTTTAAAAAGTGAGTCAATTATCATTTTTTAGAATCAATAACATTAAACCATGCTCTATCATCTTACTAAGACTGTTCCTGTTAGGATCTTGATTGATTCAAAATCTTCCTATTCTTTGTATCTCATACATATGTATAGGTGTTTTTCCTGCAGCTTTCAGCTATGCAGGGAAGTACTTGGGTAATGAAAGGCCTTAGTGATAAGGAACCGCTTCAGCCCCATTTTCATGCAACCTTTATTCTTGGATACTACAGAATTTCTTATTAAAGGAATAATGCTAATACTTAACCATGCTGAGGACTGTTAACATTTATGGAAATGTGAACACTGCTTGTGATTTTCATAAAAGTGCCATGATGTGCATATGCAACAAAAATGTGACCAACAATTAAGAATATGTAGTTAACAAAACTTTCTCTCACAAATCCAACAGTGCCAATCAGACAGCCCAGCCCAGCCCAGCCCTGCCCAGCCCAGCAATTGTTCTCACCTGCCTGGCTCTTCTTACTGAGAGTGGAAGGCCAGAGGCAGAAGTCAGAGGTGGCAGTGTCATCATCTGTAAAATGAGGGGATGAGCTCTAAGTTCCCTTCCAGCTCTAGTGTTCTATGACCATGAAGTCCAAGACAGAAGGAGAAGCAACAGCCTTGGGGGAGGGGGAGACAGAGAGGGTCCCATCCTTCATAAGCGCTTCCCCACAATCCACAGCCCCACAAGCAGAGGGTGAAAAGCCAATGAGCAACCTTTAATACCAGAAGCAAACAACTTAGCACAGCTCTCTGAATTTTAGAAACTCATCCATCATTCACCCACCTCCATCCATCATTCATCCACCTCTAGTGTTGTGGTTAGGTGCTGTCGAGTCGAGTACAACTCATATCAATTATATGAACAAAAGATCTGAACCCTGTTCTATCCTGCACCATCCTCATTCTTCCTGACACACAAGAGCCTGTTGCCGCAGTCACTGTATCAGTCCATCAGGTGGAGGCTCTTCCACCCCCTGCCTGTATTTGTTGTTATGTGCTGTTGAGTTGCTTGTGACTCATAGTGACCCTATGTACAAGAGCCCTAAATGCCGCTCTATCCTCTGCCAACCTTACCATCTCTGACACATTCATTCCCACCACCCCAATCACAGAATCAATCCATCTCATCAAGGGTCTTCCTCTCCTTCACTGTCCCCGCACTCTCTCAAACATGATCTCCTACTCCAAGGACCAGTCCCTCCTTGCAACATGCCCAAAGTATGTCAGACGAAGCTTCAGAATCCTTGACTCCAAGGAGCATTCCGGCTTCATGTTCTCTAGGACAAACCTGTTTGTTCTCTAGCAGTCCATGGTAAATTCAACACTCTTCTCCAGCACCACAGCTCAAAGGCATCAATTCTCTTTCTATCATCCCTATTCACTGTCCAACTCTCCGATGCATAGCATGTAATTGCAAAGACTATAGCCCGGAACAGGCACACCTTAGTCTCCAGCCTGATGTTGTTGCTCTTCAGTAGTCTTGAGAGGTCCCTCACAGCTGATTTTCTCAGTGCAATTCTTCTCTTGATGTCCTGGCTGCTGGTACCAAGAGTGTTGACTGTGGAGCCAAGTAAACTAAAACTGTTAACTATCTCAATTTCTTCACCATCTATACTGATGCTACCAATTGACCCAGCCTGTACTAGGACTCTCAAATAAGAAATCCTGGTAAGCTCAAGTTTAAAAATGTAGGAAATAAAAAAAAATTAAAAAAAAAATGTAGGAAATGTCTCTGGAGCCATAGAGTCTGGATGAACCTAGGAAATTATTATCCTCAGCCAACTCTCTTCATAAAGTCAAGTAACAGTTTTACTAGTTTACTCAATACAGAATGTTGCCCTTGAGCTCTTTTAAGATCTATCTCCATGGGACCAAATGGACAACAACTTAGAAGATTAAACAAGCACCTTCGTGAGCAATGTTGTTTATGTTTATGGGAATGGAACAACTCAGGAAAAAGCAGGCACAAATAGTTGTACAACTTGAAGAATATAACCAAGAGTACTGAATGGTACAATCAGAAACTGCTAAATTGTTATGTGTATTACCACTATAATTTCAACAACAAAAAATTAAAATATTCTAAAAATAAGTGAATAACCCTGTACCCCATTCCCCTCAAAAATACAGAAAGTGATTATGGCAGAATAGAAAGGGGAGCAGCTAAGATTTAACGTTTTGATGGCACGATGCTTGCACTCAGTCTTTACACAGCACAGGCACTAAATGCTAGCCACAGATGGTCCCCAGGCAGCCTTCTCCCTGCAGAGGGCTAGGTGAACTTGAGTTGGCAGAGCTAATAGTTACAGGCCGGCTCCTTCTCTACAGATTAAGTTCAATGCTCAGACCATGTGAAAGAAACCAGAACAACACTGAGTAATTTAAAACGGAAAGAAGTCACACTTAAAACGTCAATGTCTGCCCCTTCCAGAAGCAAAGCGTTCACACAGATAGGCATACTAATGGAAAAAATACTTCTCATGTGTATTTGTACTTAAATATACTGTAGTAATAATTAAAATTCCATATGGTTTCACTTATTTTGATGCAAAAACCTCATTAAAATCCTTAATGTGGGGCCCTGCCAGTAAACTCTAATATGCTTTTGAATTTATCCCCCTCAGACCGTCTTTCCTAGTTTACCTGATACATTTTGCTGATGTTTTTATTACCCATAACATGCCAGGATCACTGTAACTTTTTGGTTTATAGATGCTAGCTAACACAAATTGACATTCATTTCTCAATTAATGAGCTCTGGTTGTGGTTTACAGGCAACAATGCCACAAATTTCCACTAGGTTTATTGTATTTAGGCCAGTCACCTCAAGTCATTTGAGACTGTAATGACTTGAGCAAAGGGAGCGAATGTAGACTTCAAAGAATTATAGGCTAATTTTTAGAACTTAAAAACAATACAATTGTCTGGAATATCCTGAGTCCTTTTAAGTTATCGAGATATTTCTAACATGTACTGCAATGTGTTCTATGTAAAGAAATAAGACTTAACTCTATGTACTACATCAGGAGATCTCATAAGAATCCAAGATGAGGAAGTAGGAAAATTCTAAACTTAAAAAGAACGAATAGATACACAAAGGCATCATACTGGGGAAAGTGTAGGGTCAGAGGAAGACGGGAAGAATTTGAAACAAAATGAGTTAAAACAGTGACTACAACATGAGCTTGAGCTTATCAGAGATAATGAGGATGGCACCGGGCCGAGCAAGGCTCAGGTCTTCTATCCAGAAGGTCCCTATGAGTTATATCTGACTTGATGGCATCAATTGACAACAGCCTCTGACTTATTTATAACAACTTTTTTAAGAAGCAAAATAGAATTAAATTGTCTCATCCCACAGGGTTGTGTTCCTACTTCCCAATCTCTATTTCTTAGGTAAACTTGGACTTTCAGGTTTGGATCATTTTGGCACTAGGTCCCAAACTAGTCATCTCTTGTGATACTAACCATATTAAACCCTAAGATTTATAGCTAATAACCAAAGAAGAGGTAAATTCTACTAATTAAAAGAGTTTACATGAGGAAAGCCTAATGAGTTCTAAAAGCACCTTACCCAGAGTTCCAAATTCCTGAACTTGGCTCTACAGCCCACTGACTAAATAAAATTACAGACAGCTTGAAGACCTTTTGAATATCATGGAAAACAATCTTCATACATGCATTCTTTTTGTTGTTAACAATGTATTCCTCTCATGTTATTACTGTTGTGCATCAAGTCAAAATTGACTCATAACTGACCCTCCAGCTGGTTTTCAAAGGCAGTAAATCACAAGGGAGGAGATTGCTCAGCCTCTCATGGAGCAGCTGGTGGTTTCAAACCATGTGCCTTGGGACTGCAGAGCAGCTTCTTACCACCAGAGCTCTCCTTTTCTTATACAGAGTATTAGGCTTTGCTAAGCTGTGGAAGCTGTTCAGAAGTTGAGGATGCAACTCATCCCATTGCTATCGAGTCAATTCCAAGACCTAATTGACCCACCAGTGGGTTTCCCAGGCTGTATACTGCAATGGAGGAGACTGCCCATCTTTCTCCCTCCCAGTGGCTGACAGACTCAAACCCCCAGAGAAGCACAATCTTTGAGTTAGCAGCTCGCCAGCTAAGCCACCGGAGCTCGCAATCACCTCGTTTCCAGAGTCTCAGAATGTGCATGATTTACATTCAGGGGTGCCTGGAAGAAACTTCCAGCAGTTATCTGAAGCCCAAGATAAACGCATTAGGTCTTTCTGATGGACTGGCTTTGCTCAACTTGGGAGAGGAGGAAGGCATGTAGTTCACTGAGAGCTGGAATGGATAACATGGTAACTGTTCTCTCTCTGTTCTGAACAGTGAAATAAACATGAATATGATATACACGGTAAAGAGTACACCTCTTAGGTGAATTTTTTACAAACAAATAAAAAATAATTATTTCAACAAAATGTTGCACTTTTGACACTCCAGGCTATGCTCCCTAAGGTACTACTGTACCATTTACCATCTGCTCTGGTTGGGGTGCTCTGATGGAAAAGTCCAGGCCTCTACTGACAGCTTAGATGATGCTAATCTTATGTCCATTTGGAAAATCAGCAAGCTGAGGTCTAGACAAGGGAAGCCACTTACTGAAATTACAAAATCACACAGAGCCACAGTGAGACCAACTTCTTCGTCTTCCAACAAAATACATGCCATTTAGTTTCCCTTATATAGTTCAGTCACCACAACTGCATATTTACCTATATAATATCTATACACATGATATATATACATGTAGACATTGGATGAAATAGAAAGAGATATAAGGAACTCTGATATCACAATGCTTAAAGCACTAGGTGGGGAATCCAAAGGTCACTTGTTTGACACCCCTACACCACCAATCCACTGGAGAAAGATGGGGCAGGCTGGTCCCATGAAGACGTACAGTCTTGGAAAACCCTATGGGGCAGTTAAACTCTGTCCTATAAGGTCCATTATTAGTCAGAATCAATTTAATGCCTGAGTGTGTATATAGACAGAGATAGAGCTATTATCTTAGAAATCCAACTGCCTAAACAAAAACAATTTAGGAAGTTAGGCACTTCTGCTATCTAAGTGTTGCCTCATGACAGTTATTGTATTTAGAACACTTTTAACAATTCTTTTAGACCTTCATGCTGATCTAATTCTGGATAATTAGTTCAGTTGCTCAGGCCTTAATGAGCATGAAACCAAGGTCAAGGCTTTGATTTCCTTGGGACTTTCTGGTTTCCCAGAGGTGAACTTTATTCTGCAGCCCTGCTCATAGCCAGGCATTGCAAGGGCAGGCAGCCACGAAACGAGAGCTGCAAAATCGGGTTCATTGAAACAGCAGCACTGGGTGATGACACAGCATCCTCAGCAGCTGTTTCCCACATCCTAATATACTCTAGTGGCTGAGGGATAAGGAGCCGTACTGTCAAAGGCAATGGTTCAAATCCACCAGCTGCTCCACAGGAGAAAGATGGGCAATCTCCTCTCATGTGATTTACTGCCTCTGCGAACCCACTGAAGGG